AAAAACAAATTGACCTCATACGTAATGAAATGGGTAGCTTTATCATTTCACAAGAAAAAAATTTGAGACAATATATTAATTCAGGAAAACTTGGCTTATTAGGCAAATCGGGCCTTGCATAGTAGGCTGAGAAGTGCGTTCTGGCTATTGGTACGACATATATATATATATATATATATATATATATATATATATATATATATATATATATATATATATATATATATGCGAACAAGCCTGAATGGTCCCCAGGACTATATATTAATTCAGGAAAACTTGGAGTTTTCATTCATATATATATATATATATATATGAATGAAAACTCACACCCCAGAAGTGACTCGAACCCATACTCCCAGAAGCAACGCAACTGGTAACTACAGGGCGCCTTAATCCGCTTGACCATCACGGCCGTCAAAAGGAAGTGATAGCCGAGGCTATTTGAGCCACTTCCCCGACGGCAACTCGGATGGTAATCTTGGGCATAGCATTTCACCAAATCACCTCATTCTTTGGGGCACACGTGAGGAACACAAATGCGAACAAGCCTGAATGGTCCCCAGGACTATATGCGAATGAAAACTCACACCCCAGAAGTGACTCGAACCCATACTCCCAGAAGCAACGCAACTGGTAACTACAGGGCGCCTTAATCCGCTTGACCAACACGCCTCGGCACGTGACACGTGATAGCCTCGGCTATCACTTCCTTTTGACGGCCGTGATGGTCAAGCGGATTAAGGCGCCCTGTAGTTACCAGTTGCGTTGCTTCTGGGAGTATGGGTTCGAGTCACTTCTGGGGTGTGAGTTTTCATTCGCATATAGTCCTGGGGACCATTCAGGCTTGTTCGCATTTGTGTTCCTCACGTGTGCCCCAAAGAATGAGGTGATTTGGTGAAATGCTATGCCCAAGATTACCATCCGAGTTGCCGTCGGGGAAGTGGCTCAAATAGCCTCGGCTATCACTTCCTTTTGACGGCCGTGATGGTCAAGCGGATTAAGGCGCCCTGTAGTTACCAGTTGCGTTGCTTCTGGGAGTATGGGTTCGAGTCACTTCTGGGGTGTGAGTTTTCATTCGCATATAGTCCTGGGGACCATTCAGGCTTGTTCGCATTTGTGTTCCTCACGTGTGCCCCAAAGAATGAGGTGATTTGGTGAAATGCTATGCCCAAGATTACCATCCGAGTTGCCGTCGGGGAAGTGGCTCAAATAGCCTTGGCTATCACTTCCTTTTGACGGCCGTGATGGTCAAGCGGATTAAGGCGCCCTGTAGTTACCAGTTGCGTTGCTTCTGGGAGTATGGGTTCGAGTCACTTCTGGGGTGTGAGTTTTCATTCGCATATAGTCCTGGGGACCATTCAGGCTTGTTCGCATTTGTGTTCCTCACGTGTGCCCCAAAGAATGAGGTGATTTGGTGAAATGCTATGCCCAAGATTACCATCCGAGTTGCCGTCGGGGAAGTGGCTCAAATAGCCTCGGCTATCACTTCCTTTTGACGGCCGTGATGGTCAAGCGGATTAAGGCGCCCTGTAGTTACCAGTTGCGTTGCTTCTGGGAGTATGGGTTCGAGTCACTTCTGGGGTGTGAGTTTTCATTCGCATATAGTCCTGGGGACCATTCAGGCTTGTTCGCATTTGTGTTCCTCACGTGTGCCCCAAAGAATGAGGTGATTTGGTGAAATGCTATGCCCAAGATTACCATCCGAGTTGCCGTCGGGGAAGTGGCTCAAATAGCCTCGGCTATCACTTCCTTTTGACGGCCGTGATGGTCAAGCGGATTAAGGCGCCCTGTAGTTACCAGTTGCGTTGCTTCTGGGAGTATGGGTTCGAGTCACTTCTGGGGTGTGAGTTTTCATTCGCATATAGTCCTGGGGACCATTCAGGCTTGTTCGCATATATATATATATATATATATATATATGTCGTACCTAGTAGCCAGAACGCACTTCTCAGCCTACTATGCAAGGCCAAATTTGCCTAATAAGCCAAGTTTTCCTGAATTAATATATTTTCTCTAATTTTTTTCTTATGAAAAGATAAAGCTACCCGTTTCATTATGTATGAGGTCAATTTTTTTTATTTTAAAATTAACGTAGATATATGACCGAACCTAACCAACCCTACCTAACCTAACCTAACCTATTTTTATAGGTTAGGTTAGGTTAGGTAGCGGAAAAAGTTAGGTTAGGTTAGGTTAGGTATGTTAGGTCGTCGAAAAACAATTCATGAAAACTTGGTTTATTAGGCAAATCGGGCCTTGCATAGTAGGCCAAAAAGTGCGTTCTGGCTACTAGGTACGACATATATATATATATATATATATATATATATATATATATATATATATATATATATATATATATATATATATATATATTCATAGGTTTTCTGCCCCCGACACCTGGAATTATTATTAATTATTATTGTAGGGGGTCGGGAAGCTTGTTAGGTTTATGGACGTTCTTGAGCCAGCGACTGTTCAGCCCAACGTTAGAATTACGACGTGTTATGAGAGAGGTCAGGTGGTCCCCCAGGCCACTGAGTATGACACTGTCTTCTTTATGGTACACCCAACTTATGGAATCATTTAATTTACTTCTTCTTATATGTATTAGTTATTGATTGATATATTATATATATGTATGTATGTATTCATCTTTTGTTGATGTCCACACCTGCACTAGTCCCTGAAGGCAAGTCTCCACACCTGCACTAGTCCCACTCGTTCCCGTATGAAGGCAACTCTCCACACCTGCACTCGTCTCTGTACGAAGGCAACTCTCCCACACCTGCACTCGTCCCTGTACGAAGGCAACTCTCCCACACCTGCACTCGTCCAACTACGACTGTAAATTGTCATAAAAAAGTCGGGTGTGTGTGAATATACCTGGCAGCTGGACCTGGTTAACTACCAGCATGTGTTTACAGACTGACTTGGGTGATAGAGAAAGTTGCAATTGTTCCACTTCCAAAGTTCCCCTTTTCAGCCAAACGGCATATCACAGCCTAACCTTCAATGTTGTCCCTAAAACACGATTCACAAATTGATTTACATCCAGAACCAGGGGCCAGATTCACGAAGCAGTTACGCAAATACATACGAACGTGTACATCTTTCCTCAATCTTTGACGGCTTTGGTTACATTTATTAAACAGTTTACAAGCTTTGAAAACTTGCAAACTGTTGTTGTTGTTATAAACAGCCTCCTGGTGCTTCGGAGCGCATTAACTGTTTAATAATTGTAAACAAAGCCGCCAGAGATTGAAAAAAGATGTTCAGGTTCGTAAGTGTTTGCGTAACATCTTCGTGAATCTAGCCCCCAGGACTCAACAAGCACTTACGACATGTGTGTGGCTCTTACGTGCTCACCTACGATAGCCTATATCTCTTACCTCGATCATGTCTGTCTAGTCTGTATTTACTAAACAGTTTACGAGCTGCGAAGTGCTACGAGGTTGTCCCCAACCAAAGATAATTATTATTATGAACGATCTCGTAGCTCAGAGCTCGTACACTATTTCCTAATGCAGACGATTGAGGTAACAGGTAGAGATCTCGTAAGTGAACACGTAAGAAGTAGAGCTCTCGTAAGTGTGCATGTAAGATCTTATAAGTGGACTCGTAAGAGGTAGAGATCTCGTCAATGAACACGTAATTCACGATGAAATGGCAATAACGTGCTATACCTAGGAAAAAATCTTTGGAGCAGGACGACGGGATCGAACCAGCGTCAATCCTGTGAATCCTGGCCCCAGGTCCTTAATTACTACCGATCTACATGGGGGGCGGAAATGGTGAAGTTGCCACAATCATCTCTCGTCACCTGGAGTGGAACCTAAGACCTCTTGCTTGTGGAGTGAGTGGCACTCCTTGGCACACCCCAGTGTGTGGTAACCTGCATCCGTGTCACCCCCACCAACACACTTGCAACACACTCAAACACACACACACACACACTCGCACTTGTTCAAACACACTCATACACACATAATGAGCCACACTCAACGCGGGCCCTCGTCTTCTCCCGCCTGGAATCAAGCTCAGCTCAATCCTCTGAAGCAGAGCAACGTGTGTGAATATCTGAGGCTACGAGTGCCCCCAAATAACTTCAGAGTCCCTCGGAAATGTGGTTTTAAACAAAATGTAAAAAGTTCCGGCAACCTTTCATAGAGGGCCTCCTTGAGGGGAAGTTGTAGATGATAACCTGTGACCATGCAGCTTGGGTGTTGATAGAGAGCATCGCCGCTCTCAGGAGTCGGAGAGAGAGAGACCAGTGAGCTGTGAAGCGAGGCTTGGAAAATATTGTCATTACTTTTAATTTCATTTCCTCGGGCGAAAATGATTTAAGTTCTACCGTGAGAGTATCAGGTGGGACGCGTGTCACTCCCAGATGGCTCTTTAAGGTTCGCTGTAAATGCCAACGCCAAAACGAGGCCGTCATTAGCGTTGGCAACGCGCGCGCGGGAAAAAATTCAACTTTACGCCAACGAATTTTTATTAATTAGCGTTTGCTGGGGGAACTAACTAACCAGGCTGCTGGAGAAAGGTCAAGGGTGCCAGGTGCCAGGTGGCGGAGAGAGGTCAAGGGTGCCAGGTGCCAGGTGGCGGAGAGAGGTCAAGGGTGCCAGGTGGCGGAGAGAGGTCAAGGGTGCCAGGTGCCAGCTGCTACATCTATCTGGACTAGCATCTTGTCCAGATAGATGTAGTTGTGCCCAGACATGCAAGTTATCCTGCAGAGCACCAAACACATTTCATTTCCTCCCTACGATGCAATGATTACAGAGATCAATGTCCCAGCGGCCCCTTTGTGGCTTCCTGGTCGGTGGCCTGGTCAACCAGGCTGTTAGATGCCGCTGCTCGCATTCTGACGTATAAATCACAGTCCGGTTTTTCTTATTCAGGGAACTCTCTTAACAAATTCTTTCAGACTGTTCGTTATTGTAACTGGTTATCATTATTCTTTCAAGTTGCCTTACCAATTTCAGGTTAGGTGTGTGTGTGTTTACTCACCTATTTGTGTCTGCAGGATCGAGCTCTGGCTCTTGGACCCCGCTTTTGTAGCCGTTGGTTATCTAATGCAATGACCCCCTGGCCTATTCCCTTATCATACCGGGTTTTAAAGTTATGAATGGAGTTTGCCTCTAGAACCTGTTCCTTTAGGTTATTCTATTTACTCACTACCCTCATGCTAAAAGAAAACTTTCTAACATCTCTATGACACATGTGAGTCTCAAGCCTCCATAGGTGTCCCCTTGTTATATTGTTATTCATTAATTTAAAAACATTTCCACTGCTTCCATCTTGTCAATCCCTCTTAAGTATTTTATACGTCTGTATCATGTCCTCCCCCTCTCCCTCCTCCTTTCTAACGTCGTCAGGTTTAATTCGCTGAGTCTGTCTTCATACCTCATCCCTTGCAGCTCCTGTCGTCTCTGTCTATCTTCATCTGTCTCGATTCTTCTCATAATTTTTGCATCGTCAGCAAACATTGAGAGGAATGAGTCTATACCCTCTGGAAGGTCGTTTACATATATCAGAAACAGGATGGGTCAGAAAGATAGGAACAGATGTGTGTACTCATCTAGTTGTACTCACCTAGTTGGGTTTGCGGGGGTTGAGCTGTGGTATAACCCGTCCGTTTCATGACAGAGAATCTCCCATTCGGTATCCAGTGTCTGGCCTACTATTTCCTCCGCCTAGTTTCATTACATTACATTTACTTGGGCCGAACTTTAGTAGCCGTGTACTCACCTAGTTGTGTTTGCGGGGGTTGATCTCTGGCTCTTTGGTCCCGCCTCTCAACCGTGTGTGTGTGTGTGTGTGTGTGTGTGTGTGTGTGTGTGTGTGTGTGTGTGTGTGTGTGTGTGTGTGTGTGTGTGTGTGTGTGTGTGTGTGTGTGTGTGTGTGTGTGTGAGTGTGTGAGTGTGTGTGCATGCGTGCGTTACTCTTCTTTTTTAACCCTTAAAATTGTGTTTAAATACATTTGTCACCCGCTGGAATATGGCCGGATTTTGTGCTAATTCACCTTTCCTCTTTGAAAAACAAAATATTCTGTATCGTGCCTGTCTGTCGGAGATGGGAACCTGTCACCTGGCTTGACGGGTCTATGTTGCAGCTGGGCCACATGGCGAGAACATTGGCTATGCTGCAGGTGGGAGGCCTGCAGGAACAACGGCTATGCTGCAGGTGGGAGGCCTGCAGGAACAATGGCTATGCTGCAGGTGGGAGGCCTGCAGGAACAATGGCTATGCTGCAGGTGGGAGGCCTGCAGGAACAATGGCTATGCTGCAGGTGGGAGGCCTGCAGGAACAATGGCTATGCTGCAGGTGGGAGGCCTGCAGGAACAATGGCTATGCTGCAGGTGGGAGGCCTGGAGGAACAATGGCTATGCTGCAGGTGGGAGGCCTGCAGGAACATTGGCTATGCTGCAGGTGGGAGGCCTGCAGGAACATTGGCTATGCTGCAGGTGGGAGGCCTGCAGGAACAATGGCTATGCTGCAGGTGGGAGACCTGCAGGAACAATGGCTATGCTGCAGGTGGGAGACCTGCAGGAACAATGGCTATGCTGCAGGTGGGAGGCCTGCAGGAACAATGGCTATGCTGCAGGTGGGAGGCCTGGAGGAACAATGGCTATGCTGCAGGTGGGAGGCCTGCAGGAACAATGGCATGCTGGAGGTGGGAGGCCTGCAGGAACAATGGCTATGCTGCAAATGGGAGACCTGCAGGAACAATGGCTATGCTGCAGGTGGGAGACCTGCAGGAACAATGGCTATGCTGCAGGTGGGAGGCCTGCAGGAACAATGGCTATGCTGCAGGTGGGAGGCCTGCAGGAACAATGGCTATGCTGCAGGTGGGAGGCCTGCAGGAACAATGACTATGCTGCAGGTGGGAGGCCTGCAGGAACAATGGCTATGCTGCAGGTGGGAGACCTGCAGGAACAATGGCTATGCTGCAGGTGGGAGGCCTGCAGGAACAATGGCTATGCTGCAGGTGGGAGACCTGCAGGAACAATGGCTATGCTGCAGGTGGGAGGCCTGCAGGAACAATGGCTATGCTGCAGGTGGGAGACCTGCAGGAACAATGACTATGCTGCAGGTGGGAGGCCTGCAGGAACAATGGCTATGCTGCAGGTGGGAGACCTGCAGGAACAATGGCTATGCTGCAGGTGGGAGGCCTGCAGGAACAATGGCTATGCTGCAGGTGGGAGACCTGCAGGAACAATGGCTATGCTGCAGGTGGGAGGCCTGCAGGAACAATGGCTATGCTGCAGGTGGGAGACCTGCAGGAACAATGGCTATGCTGCAGGTGGGAGGCCTGCAGGAACAATGGCTATGCTGCAGGTGGGAGACCTGCAGGAACAATGGCTATGCTGCAGGTGGGAGGCCTGGAGGAAGAAGGGACATTACACTTGCCACTCCAATCATGTTGTTGTTTAATATCCGCTACCTGGAACAAAAAGTTCCAAGTAGCACGGACTATGGTGAGCCCGTAGTTTACTTCATGACTCACTCGTGGGGCTCCAGGTGGCGTGGACGCCGGAGAGCCAGTGGTCGAACCAGCCAGTCCAGAACTCCGTCACCAGGAGCGGGCGGTCCGGCTGTAGCTCCTTCAGCACCGACAAGTTCTCCTCCAGGTTGGAGTTGAAGTTGGCCGTCATCAGCACTGCGAAGGACAGAATGAGGGAAGTTTTTATTTTAGAAGATTGATTGATTGATGAAGATGAAGCCATCCAAAAGGTGGCACGGGCATGAATAGCCCGTAAGTGGTGGCCTTTTTGAGCTATTACCAGTATCAACAGCTGATACTGGAGATCTGTGGAGGTGCGACTGCACCCTGCGTGACGGGAGATGTCTCCCATGTATTTTAGAAGCATTTGCTCTAGCTTTGTAATGTAACTAACTCCGTACTTTAGTAACCCTTTTCCTTCCCCCCCTCACCTAATTCAATGTACCTTACCTCCCAGTGGTTTAAACCCGATATGTTTTCTCCTGTCTAGACACAGCACCGCTCCTGTGCCAGGTAAGTCTAATACGGGCTCACCATAGCCCGTGCTACTTGGAACTTTTTGTTCCCAGTAGCTGAATCTTAAACAACAACAACAACTCCGTCTACATTCAGCACCGCTCCTGTGCCAGGTAAGTCCACCACGGGCTCACCATAGCCCGTGCTACTTGCCCCGCTCCTGTGCCAGGTAAGCTACGGGCTCACCATAGCCGTTATCTTGAGGTTATCTTGAGATGATTTCGGGGCTTTAGTGTCCCCGCGGCCCGGTCCTCGACCAGGCCTTCACCCCCACGAAGCAGCCCGTGACAGCTGACTAACTCCCAGGTACCTATTTACTGCTAAGTAACAGGGGCATTCAGGGTGAAAGAAACTTTGCTCATTTGTTTCTGCCTCGTGCGGGAATCGAACCCGCGCCACAGAATTACGAGTCCTGCGCGCTATCCACCAGGCTACGAGGCCCCTATTCAGCCGTAGCTGAATCTATAACAACAACAACAATCCACAGACCCAGACACACTTCAAGATGTTACACGACCAAAGACCAGTCACTCCAAACATCTACCACCTACGGGCTACTCATGCCCGTGCCACCTCTTGTGGTGGCTTAATCTTCAACAATCATCCCTGTCTCCTCACTTGAGAATGAACCTTGTAGGTTCGAAACGTTGTGTAAGTTTACAATAAGTGTAATACATTCTACAGTTATTTTATATTCTTTTAGTCAATGTCAACCAAATATGACATTTGGAGAAATCCTCTTCCAATTAAACTAAGATGCAAGAGCACTGGTCAGAGGAATAGAAGCCCTAAACAAGAAAATAATCAACACTGAATATGCAGTCATATTCAGTGAAACATGTCTAAACGAAACCCTGCTGCTAATACACATATACATATACAAGCAGGTATGTGAGTACAAGTATATGAGTACAAGGAGGTGAGTACAAGTATATGAGTACAAGGAGGTGAGTACAAGTATGTGAGTACAAGGAGGTGAGTACAAGTATATGAGTACAAGGAGATGAGTACAAGTATATGAGTACAAGGAGGTGAGTACAAGTATGTGAGTACAAGGAGGTGAGTACAAGTATGTGAGTACAAGGAGGTGAGTACAAGGAGGTGAGTGCAAGGAGGTGAGTACAAGTATATGAGTACAAGGAGGTGAGTACAAGTATATGAGTACAAGGAGGTGGGTACAAGGAGGTGAGTACAAGGAGGTGAGTACAAGTATATGAGTACAAGGAGGTGAGTACAAGGAGGTGAGTACAAGTATATGAGTACAAGGAGGTGAGTACAAGGAGGTGAGTACAAGGAGGTGAGTGCAAGGAGGTGAGTACAAGTATATGAGTACAAGTATATGAGTACAAGGAGGTGAGTACAAGGAGGTGAGTACAAGTATATGAGTACAAGGAGGTGAGTACAAGTATATGAGTACAAGTATATGAGTACAAGTATATGAGTACAAGGAGGTGAGTACAAGGAGGTGAGTGCACACCTACAGCGTGTGGAGTGTGACCATGGCGGCAGCTTCAGTAAGGCGAATATATACAAAGTTGAAACTGCTCTATAGAGACCTTAATTTTTCTAACAGGCAGTTGAAATCACTGGGAAAAACTCGGGGGGTCTTTGGCACAACTTATTAAGTTTCAGGGGCAAGAAAGGCTCGAAAACACGAACTTTGGAGAACACTGTCAGGTAGTTAAGAGAGCAAGAAGTTCTAATGTATTAGACAAATGCAAGAATGTAACAAGGCCCTTGGGGGTCAGAACTGGAGCCAGCGGTCACATCTATACCTTTCTCAACACTAGCAAAACCTTCCTTGAGTCATGGCAGTGTTTTAGGGTCCAGCTGCCTCCCACTCTCCAATCTTCTTATATCTCATTTTAATGTACCTTAATATTGACGTTTTCTATATGCATCGGCCTCAATAAGTTAGGTGGGTTGCTTGGGTTCGTACGTTTCCGGTGAGGAAAATTAATTGTGTTTTGTTTTCACGGAGTGGCGCATGGAGCTAATGGAGTGTGTAGTGACGGGTGTTTGTGAGTGTACAGGCCATACAACTGACGGGATAGTACATCATACTGGCCTGAGTACCACCCATATATTGCACGAAATTGTAGACCGACTATAAAACCCCACAGATCTGTATACTCCTCAAACACAACATAGGTCTGTATGCTGGTCATACAACACGTGGGTATGTATACTAGCAAAACACAACAATGGCTTTTGAACCAGTCATACCCCACATGAACCTGTATATCGACAATGTGCCTACATACCTACAACACCCCACAGAGATGTGTATGTCCACAGCATGTATATATATATATATATATACATGGCACCTCACTGAGGAACCACAGGAAACAAAGCTGTTTTCACCACGTACAAGATTAACTAATACATTCGTCTCACTCGCCACGAATTCAAAGACTTAAAGCAAAGCTGGAGTTCCCGCCAAATGGGTGGGAGACGAATGGGCGGTGGGTCCCGGGGGTGGGTGGTGGGTGGGAGGGAATGTAAGGGGGGTCTTACTGGTGGGGGAGGCCCTGGTGAGGTGAGGCCCTGGTGGAGTGAGACACTGGTGGACGGAGGCACTGGAGGGAGGCACTGGCCGGGGGGCAAAAGGCACTGGTGGGGGGGGGAGGCACAGGGATGGGGTATTCACTGGAAGGGGGAGGGGAATCACCGGATCGTTAGGAAGAGGGAGTCCTGAGATCCAAACTTCCGAAACAGTGTCCTGAGTTTTGCTTCAAAGTTTCAGATGTTCCATCAAGACCTGTGAAGGCGGTCCCTCGCCCACACCTATGTTATTCCTGTTTATTTTACCTCTCCTCTCTCTCTCTCACTGGTCAATCACCACCCGTCCCCTGGAACTGGTCGGAGGAGCGACGATCATATCCCACAGCCTTGTCCTCGTATCCCATCCAAGTGCTATATAGTCATACTAGTTTAAAATGCAGTCCGTCCTCGTAAACAAAGACCAAAAGGTCATTAATCCAGCCGCCAAATCTTTGTTTACGCGCCTTGTCTTAATAACGCGCCTCATTTTGAACGATATGGTCTCCCAGCCCGTCCACTCACGTTGTCACGTCACAAAAATTCTGTACTAAATTGTCCGGACATGATGTAACCGAGGACCAAGGACTAGCAGTATGGTGGAGATTTATACGTCAAAATGATATGTGGTATTCAAGAGGACAGGTTGCGTCGCCAACGTACAAGAGAGCGAAAAATAACGGCTCACGATTACCTGTTTTCTAAGGGTAGGAAGGTTAACTTAGGTGGGGGGCTTGGGTTCCTGCTGTTTAGTAGCCCTTATTTTGTACAATGAGGTGAATCAAGAGAACGGGTTAGTTTATGAAAAAACCACTTCTCTCACGACACAACTGATGCAGTGTCTCAATAAACATACTTGAACTTGAACTGATGGCGTTTGAACTTTTCATGAACAATGAAGGTGATATGAACTGTACCTCCTGAAACTGTGTCCAGACCCCCCCCCCTCCCTTGAAAGGTTGCCTGTCAAATCAACTATATCTTTTGAAACTGTGTCCAGATCCCCCTGGAAGGCTGCCTGTGATAGAACTATACCTCCTGGCACTGTGCTGAGACCCCTGATAAGGTTGCTTGTGATCTACCTCCTGGAATGGAGCCGAGGTCTCTGGTTTGAGCAGGGGTGTCTGAGGTGAAGAACAGCGACTCGCCAAAGCCGTTGTCGACCAAGTTGTCTCTCAGGAACTCGAGGTAGAGAGTGTCCCGTGGGTCATCGCCATACCCGAAGTGGCCGTACTCGTTCTCTACCTGTATGGAACGACCATTATGAGTAATTAGTGACCGGGCTGGTACGCAGTGCAAGACTAATGACGCCCTGGGAGACATCTCCCGTCACGCAGGGTGCAGTCGCACCTCCACAGGTCTCCAGTATCATCTATTGCTACCGGTAATGGCTCAAAAGGGCCTCCACTTACGGGCTATTCATGCCCGTGCCACCTTTCGGGTGGCTTAATCTTCATCAATCAATCAATGACGCCCTCAGCAGCTGATAACGTCAACTGCTAACCCGAGAGAAGTAAAATATTTACCATGGGAGGGATGTGAATTAATATAAATATATTTGTTAAGAAGAGTCTTACACTGGCCTGAGTAAGAACAGTACTGTAAGTATGAAAGATTCATTTACGCCACCGTCCATGTTACTGTATTGGCATCTCTGTGCATACATATGTATATCTAACCGCTCAGTTATTGCTAATGTTTTACAAGTTCATTTCTGCCCCAATAATTACAGTCTTTCTTTAAGTGTATCGTGACAGGACATCTTGATAATTAAGTAATTATTAAAAGAATGCAACCAGCCGGAAAAATTATGTAGCACCAAGGACATCTTGACAGGACACTTTGAGAGGCCACCTTGACAGGCCACCAGACAACACCAGACAGCACACCTGGCTACACACCTGGACAGCGATGATAGGGCCTCCGTGAACAAACTGGAGATCAACCAGGTGCGGCAGGAGGTGGTCGAAGAACCTGGCCGCTGGTGTCCTGAAGCCCTCGTAGTACGTCCTCACCTGCATGTTGTGGTCACGCAGCAGGTAACTGTCGGAGACACCCACACCCTCAACACCAAGCTGAAGCCACCGCCAACACGGGCTCAAGGCGAAGACGGGATCAAGATGAAGACGGGATCAAGACGAAGACGGGATCAAGACGAAGATGGGATCAAGACGAAGACGGGATCAAGATGAAGACGGGATCAAGACGAAGACGGGATCAAGACGAAGACGGGATCAAGACGAAGATGGGATCAAGACGAAGACGGGTTCAAGACGAAGACGGGATCAAGACAAAGATGGGATAAAGACAAAGACGGGATCAAGATAAAGATGGGATCAAGACGAAGACGGGATCAAGACGAAGACGGGATCAAGACGAAGACGGGATCAAGACGAAGACGGGATCAAGACGAAGATGGGATCAAGACGAAGACGGGATCAAGATGAAGACGGGATCAAGACGAAGACGGGATCAAGACGAAGATGGGATCAAGATAAAGACGGGATCAAGATGAAGACGGGTTCAAGACGAAGACGGGATCAAGACAAAGATGGGATCAAGACAAAGACGGGATCAAGATAAAGATGGGATCAAGACGAAGACGGGATCAAGACGAAGATGGGATCAAGACGAAGACGGGATCAAGACGAAGATGGGATCAAGACGAAGACGGGATCAAGACGAAGACGGGATCAAGATAAAGATGGGATCAAGACGAAGACGGGATCAAGACGAAGATGGGATCAAGACGAAGACGGGATCAAGACGAAGATGGGATCAAGACGAAGACGGGATCAAGACGAAGACGGGATCAAGACGAAGATGGGATCAAGACGAAGACGGGATCAAGACGAAGCTGAAGCCCCCACGAGCCACACATGGTGTATTAAAACATATTACAACTATATGGTTGACACTAATTTACCATAATAACCCGGTCTGTTGTAAGTTACTCCAGCCATGAGAAATATCTCACTATTTACAGTACATGGAAAAGTTATTTTTTTTGTCAAACAACCATTATATAAACATATTACATTTTAAAACATTAATGTAATAGATTAGAAAATGCAAACAACATATAACACAGAGACTATGATCATAAAATGTAACTTTTATTTATATTAGTTCGTGATTTGTCCCCCTAATGTACACCTTATTTTCCTCCCCCCCCCCAGTGATTCCCAACCTTTATTAGGCCTTATTTTATAACACTATATGGAAAGAGCCGCAAAAGTGTCCCGACCCACCGGTTGGGAACCGGTTTAGACCAGGATTTCATTTCTTTATTATGCACCCCATACCCCTGAGGGAGGAGGCAACCCATCACGAGGGAGGAGGCGACCCATCCCGAGGGAGGAGGCGACCCATCCCGAGGGAGGAAGCGCCCCATCCCGAGGGAGGAAGCGCCCCATCCCGAGGGAGGAAGCGCCCCATCCCGAGGGAGGAGGCGACCCATCCCGAGGGAGGAAGCGACCCATCCCGAGGGAGGAAGCGCCCCATCCCGAGGGAGGAGGCGACCCATCCCGAGGGAGGAAGCGACCCATCCCGAGGGAGGAAGCGCCCCATCCCGAGGGAGGAAGCGCCCCATCCCGAGGGAGGAAGCGCCCCATCCCGAGGGAGGAAGCGCCCCATCCCGAGGGAGGAAGCGCCCCATCCCGAGGGAGGAAGCGACCCATCCCGAGAAAGGGGCGACCATTGACAAGATCCTGGCGGCGAGGAGTGTAATTACAAAAGCCTCCTCCGTGAAACTGAGGAGAAGAGCGCTCGCCCCATCTCGGCAAATCCGTTCACAAACGTCCAACTGGAAGCAGCTCTCACTTGGCCATTAACCTCTCAAGGTTTTCAGAAATTCTGAGTATGTTTCAGTTAGTGAACATGGGTGGTACAAGGAGGAGGTTGAAGGTCAGAGGTCACCGTGTCTGGCAGGTGGAATGGTCAAGGCGACCCCATCAACCATGGTTGACAGCGGAAGGGTCAAGGCGACCCCATCAACCGTGGTTGACAGCGGAAGAGTCAAGGCGACCCCATCAACCGTGGTTGACAGCGGAAGGGTCAAGGCGACCCCATCAACCGTGGTTGACAGCGGAAGGGTCAAGGCGACCCCATCAACCGTGGTTGATAGCGGAAGGGTCAAGGCGACCCCATCAACCGTGGTTGACAGCGGAAGGGTCAAGGCGACCCCATCAACCGTGGTTGACAGCGGAAGGGTCAAGACGACCCCATCAACCGTGGTTGACAGCGGAAGAGTCAAGGCGACCCCATCACCCCGTCACAGGCAGCGTGAGAGGTCAAACTGACCACATCACCCATCACTGGCACCGATGGGAAGGTGGAAGTCATCAGCCCTCACTGTAAGAAACCCTTGCTTATATATGGGGTTGGGCAGCACGCGGATCTGTTAACATCGCCGACAATGTCACCCCCATGAAATACGCACTCACAGGTCAATGGCACCCCCCATGATTTAGACACTACTGGGTCACCAAGGCAATTCCACTGAAGGAGAACTCGCAAGTCTATGACTGGCACTGGGATTGGCACTCCTGGGCCACTACCCGTTCGTACCGCCTTGAGTACATAAATAGGTTAAATGATATCAGTACCAAGATAGTTCTAAATTTTTCTTATTTACCAAAATTATAAATTCCTAAGAGGAGTCATTTCTTCTAATATTTCATCAGAGTACTGACACTACACTAAATAGACCTTAATATACATAATTAAACCTAACCTGACCTTGCTAATCAAATAAATAAACCGAACCTAAGATTTCTAGAGCTAATTATACCACATCTAAGCTTAGCTAAGTAAGCGCAACATAAGCTTATTAAAGCCAAGTAACCTAAACTTAATCTAAATTGTCATAATCAAATGTTATAACAAGTTTTCGACCCACAGAAAGTACTCAGAAACGTACAAAATGTATTAAGTACAGTTTTAAAACATTTATAAGAAAGTACAAAATTATAGCAAAATATCTTTTAGAAATCATTTTAATATATTATTAAGCCTGACCAATACCGCCTCATAAAGCGGGGACTCTCCTATTAGTGTGCGGTAATAAAGCGGGTATTTTCGGGTCAATACCTATCCATTAAGGGGGTATTTAGTGTCTGGCACTCACTTCAGCGCCTTGGCTCTCTCACTTTGGCACTCTAGCCCCCCCCCCTCACCTGGGCATGCCGCCGAAGTCCCACTCGGAGCAAATATAGGGTCCCGGCCTGAGGATAACGAAGAGGTCCTCCTCCTGCGCCATCTGCACGAAGGCGCGCACGTCTAGGAAGGGGGACATGCTCTCTCCAAGGTCCCCGAAGTCGTACACGCCCTCACGCGGCTCGTGCAGGTTCCACGACACATACCTGTGGGAGGGAGCGAAGGAGGAGATGGTGACGGGCACAAGCTCAGCTGGGAAGGAAGATAGGTAGTAAGGTGCTGGGAAAGGGAAGGTGTATGATAAGAAAATGAGTAAATGGAAAATGGTAAAGCTAGAGAATTTCAAGAAACCGTTTTATTGGACAAAGACGATTTATTTTTTAATTAGTATTTCCATAGATAGTTTTGCAACTAACAAGTCAATATGTGACTTTTCAATAGTACAAATACATATAATATTAATATTAACAGTAATACAAATTTTAAAATAACAAATTGCGGTGACATTATTATGCATGCAACACTGGCTCATTGTAAACAATAACAAACATTTCCAGCCCATGAGGCGATGTGGGCGCCAAACATGGCCGCCGCTACACACACACACACACCCGCCTGTGGCAGTTAACACTGTACATCCCTGCCCACATGTTGGTGTTCCGGCCAGCTGGGACACCCGGGAATATATATATACAACACCTTCGCGCTACACAGCATCTGTATAATGTTTCCTGACAACCTGTCCTCACGCTATGGTCGTTCAAGCGGCAGCCGACCCCCCCCCCCTGAACCTGGCGGTTACTTTGCGAAGATCTCAGCTCACCGTCCCCGCGGCCCGGTCCTCAACTAGGCCTCCTCCCCAAGGACACATTCATCAAATTTAACATAACTGTGCAATCAAATTCGGTATTTTCTTATATATAAATAAATATTATTATATATTACAATTTAGTGTATAGTTAGGTGTAGGTTAGGTTAGGTGATTAGCTTCTGGTAGGAATTATTGCTATTTATACTACGTGGCACAATACCATGCTCCAGACGAGGACGTTCGTCTAAAGCACTGTTCGTCAAAGTTCGTTCGTCAAAGCACTGTTCGAAAAGAGTTCGGACGTCTACAGTTTTGAGTCGTATGTAAAGTGCTTTTCATTCATATACATGGAGTTGGGCACTCATACATGTCTACATGGATCATACGCAGCGTGGGATCTGGTAGTTCTGCTACTCCCCAAGCCCGACCCTGCCTTGTGATAACTGGGTCCAACAGATTATTGCTTCTAGCGGCCTGCAAGTTTTCACATATTCACTACAACCCGCTTGAGACAATCCAGCAATCTCACGTCTAGTATATATCCGATCATATGAACAAATCCACAAGGGCCGTGACGAGGATTCGAACCTGCGTCCGGGAGCATCCCAGACACTGCCTTAATCGACTGAGCTACGACAGGGTAAAAGGGTCCGATCATATGTTCACACACACACACATCAACAACCCGATTCCAAGCATGTATTTACACAGGTCTCTTCTGAACCTAAAGTTGTCCAATTCGCCTTCACTTGACACTCACGTCTCGACAGCGTTGAGTCCTGCGGCCCGAAGCTTGCGGAGTGTGTCCCTCCAGTAGGCGGGGTGGACGCGGAAGTAATGGAAGGCGCCGGACAGGATGAGGATCTCCTTGTTGTTGAGAGTGAAGACTTCCCCTTGTGCCACCAGGGGCGCCTCAACCACTCCGCCGGGCGCGTAGTACTCGTACAGCGACACGCCCTCGCTCCCCTGGGGAAGGACGTAGCAAGAACCGTATGTAAAGACAACTGGGAATATAATTAATCACGGGAGACATCTTCCGTCACTCAGGGTGCAGTCGCACCTCCACAGATCTCCAGTATCATCTCTTGATACTGGTAATAGCTCAAAAGGGCCACCACTTACGGGCTATTCATGCCCGTGCCACCTTTTGGGTGGCTTAATCTTTATTAATCAATCTATAATTAATCTTCATCATACAAAGAAATCTCAGTCGATTAAGGCAGTGTCTGTGATGCTCTCGGACGTAGGTTCGAATCCTCGTCACGGCACTTGTGGATTTGTTCATTTGTTTAATCTTCATTAGTATTGACTATGGGGAAACCCATAAGGGTTGTTGATATATGGAACAACTTACCAGGTAACATAATAGACGTGGTGTAATTGTTTCAAGCGTAGGATAGACAAACATATAAGTTAGTTAGGATGAATATAAATAAGAGCTGCCTCGTATGGGCCAATAAGACTTCTACAGCTCCTTAATTTTTAATACTTTACTCTTATTATAGACTTTCGGAGTTGCCATACCTATCTTATTAAATTATGTAAGATTTTTAATGAGACAATAAGCTATCCACAACAGACAACTTGTATATAGGACAAAAATGGAAGCCCACAAAAGATGACAAAGGTGGTAATAGTTTGTGGGTGAAGTGGAGACATGGTCGATTAAAGAGTTTGGTGAGAACTAAAGGGGAGAGGCAGGTCCTGTGGAGACGAGGAGGGGGGTAAGAGGGAGAGGCAGGTCCTGTGGAGACGAGATATATATATATATATATATATAACTGAAAACTCACACCCCAGAAGTGACTCGAACCCATACTCCCAGGAGCATGCAACTGGTATGTACAAGACGCCTTAATCCACTTGACCATCACGACCGGACAAAATGAGGTGATAGCCGAAGCTATTTGAACCACCCCACCGCCGGCACTCGGATGGTAATCTTGGGCATAGCATTTTACCAAATCACCTACATTCTTTGGGGCACACGTGAGGAACACAAATGCGAACAAGCCTGAATGGTCCCCAGGACAATATGCAACTGAAAACTCACACCCCAGAAGTGACTCGAACCCATACTCCCAGGAGCATGCAACTGGTATGTACAAGACGCCTTAATCCACTTGACCATCACGACCGGACAAAATGAGGTGATAGCCGAAGCTATTTGAACCACCCCACCGCCGGCACTCGGATGGTAATCTTGGGCATAGCATTTTACCAAATCACCTCATTCTTTGGGGCACACGTGAGGAACACAAATGCGAACAAGCCTGAATGGTCCCCAGGACAATATGCAACTGAAAACTCACACCCCAGAAGTGACTCGAACCCATACTCCCAGGAGCATGCAACTGGTATGTACAAGACGCCTTAATCCACTTGACCATCACGACCGGACAAAATGAGGTGATAGCCGAAGCTATTTGAACCACCCCACCGCCGGCACTCGGATGGTAATCAAGATTACCATCCGAGTGCCGGCGGTGGGGTGGTTCAAATAGCTTCGGCTATCACCTCATTTTGTCCGGTCGTGATGGTCAAGTGGATTAAGGCGTCTTGTACATACCAGTTGCATGCTCCTGGGAGTATGGGTTCGAGTCACTTCTGGGGTGTGAGTTTTCAGTTGCATATTGTCCTGGGGACCATTCAGGCTTGTTCGCATATATATATATATATATATATATATATATATATGCTAGTGTCAGACTACGAAGGAAGGATTGAAACAGGAATTTCCTTAAGTACTTTTCTATTTAATAATACATCTTCAGAAGGATTCAGGAAAAACGTGATTTACACACACACACACACACACACACACACACACACACACACACACACACACACACACACACACACACACACACACACACACACACACACACACACACGAAGTTTGCAAGGAGACTCGTCCCAGCGTTACAGTTACACGTTACGCCTGAAGGAACTGAACCTTACAACACTAGAAAAAAGAAGGGAGAGGGGGGGATATGATAGGAACGTATACAATACTCAGGGGGATTGACAGAGTGGAAATAGAAGAAATATTCACACGGAATAGTAACAGAACGAGGGGACATGGGTGGAAGCTGGAAACTCAGATGAGTCACAGAGATGTTAGGAAGTTTTCCTTTAGCGTGAGAGTAGTGGGAAAATGGAATGCACTTAAGGAGCAGGTTGTGGAAGCAAATTCTATTCATAATTTTAAAACTAGGTATGATAGGGAAATGGGACAGGAGTCATTGCTGTAATCAACCAATGGCTCAAAAGGCGGGATCCAAGAGTCAATGCTCGATCCTGCAGGCATAAATTGGTGAGTATACACAGTATGGTGACACAGTACTGTAGGAATTGATGAGGTGGGTCTGCCACCACCACACCCACCACCACCACCACCACACCCACCACCACCACACCCACCACCACTACCACCACCACACCCACCACCACCACCACCACACCCAACACACCCACCACCACTACCACCACCACACCCAACACACCCACCACCACCACCACACCCACCACCACCACCACTACCACCACCACACCCACCACCACCACCACACCCACCACCACCACACCCACCATACCCACCACACCCACCACCACCACCACTACCACCACCACACCCACCACCACCACACCCACCACCACCACCACTACCACCACCACACCCACCACCACCACTACCACCACCACACCCACCACCACTACCACCACCACACCCACCACCACCACCACACCCACCACCACCACCACCACTACTACCACCACACCCACCACCACACCCACCACCACCACACCCACCATACCCACCACACCCACCACACCCACCACCACCACCACTACCACCACAACACCCACCACCACCACACCCACCACCACCACCACTACCACCACCACACCCACCACCACCACCACCACTACCACCACCACACCCAACACACCCACCACCACTACCACCACCACACCCAACACACCCACCACCACCACCACACCCACCACCACCACCACCACTACCACCACCACACCCACCACCACCACCACACCCACCACCACCACACCCACCATACCCACCACACCCACCACCACACCCACCACCACCACCGGGCCTCATCAGTGCTACATAAGCCCGCCAATAAAGGCCTCGTGTCCTTGACTCTGGTACAAAATCAATATCATTTTCTACGAGCAAGTGAAGCACGTTCATGTATGATCACAGTGCCTGCGTCATGATCACAGCACCTGCGTCATGATCACAGCACCTGCGTCATGATCACAGTGCTTGCGTCATGATCACAGCACCTGCGTCATGATCACAGCACCTGCGTCATGACCACAGTGCCTGCGTCATGATCACAGCACCTGCGTCATGATCACAGTGCCTGCGTCATGATCACAGTGCCTGCGTCATGATCACAGCACCTGCGTCATGATCACAGCACCTGCGTCATGATCACAGTGCCTGCGTCATGATCACAGCACCTGCGTCATGATCACAGTGCCTGCGTCATGATCACAGTGCCTGCGTCATGATCACAGCACCTGCGTCATGATCACAGCACCTGCGTCATGATCACAGTGCCTGCGTCATGATCACAGCACCTGCGTCATGATCACAGTGCCTGCGTCAAAATCACAGTGCCTGCGTCATGATCACAGCACCTGCGTCATGATCACAGCACCTGCGTCATGATCACAGCACCTGCGTCATGATCACAGCACCTGCGTCATGATCACAGTGCCTGCGTCATGATCACAGTGCCTGCGTCATGATTACAGCACCTGCGTCATGATCACAGTGCCTGCGTCATGATCACAACACCTGCGTCATGATCACAGTGCCTGCGTCATGATCACAGCACCTGCGTCATGATCACAGCACCTGCGTCATGATCACAGCACCTGCGTCATGATCACAGTGCCTGCGTCATGATCACAGCACCTGCGTCATGATCACAGTGCCTGCGTCATGATCACAGCACCTGCGTCATGATTACAGCACCTGCGTCATGATCACAGTGCCTGCGTCATGATCACAGCACCTGCGTCATGATCACAGCGCCTGCGTCATGATCACAGTGCCTGCGTCATGATCACAGCACCTGCGTCATGATCACAGTGCCTGCGTCATGATCACAGTGCCTGCGTCATGATCACAGCACCTGCGTCATGATCACAGTGCCTGCGTCATGATCACAGCACCTGCGTCATGATCACAGTGCCTGCGTCATGATCACAGCACCTGCGTCATGATCACAGTGCCTGCGTCATGATCACAGCACCTGCGTCATGATCACAGTGCCTGCGTCATGATCACAGTGGCTGCGTCATGATCACAGCACCTGCGTCATGATCACAGCACCTGCGTCATGATCACAGTGCCTGCGTCATGATCACAGCACCTGCGTCATGATCACAGTGCCTGCGTCATGATCACAGCACCTGCGTCATGATCACAGTGCCTGCGTCATGATCACAGCACCTGCGTCATGATCACAGTGCCTGCGTCATGATCACAGCACCTGCGTCATGATCACAGTGCCTGCGTCATGATCACAGCACCTGCGTCATGATCACAGCACCTGCGTCATGATCACAGTGCCTGCGTCATGACCACAGCACCTGCGTCATGATCACAGTGCCTGCGTCATGATCACAGCACCTGCGTCATGATCACAGCACCTGCGTCATGATCACAGCACCTGCGTCATGATCACAGCACCTGCGTCATGATCACAGCACCTGCGTCATGATCACAGTGCCTGCGTCATGATCACAGCACCTGCGTCATGATCACAGTGCCTGCGTCATGATCACAGTGCCTGCGTCATGATCACAGTGCCTGCGTCATGATCACAGTGCCTGCGTCATGATCACAGTGCCTGCGTCATGATCACAGCACCTGCGTCATGATCACAGCACCTGCGTCATGATCACAGCACCTGCGTCTTGATCAC